ACGCATAGTCAGCTCGAGCGCAAGAACTGACGCTCGAGCGTCAGACACAATAAGTTATTTTGCTCAAGCACAAGAAGTGATGCTCGAACGCAGAATGCACACTCCTAGTAGTTTTGCAGACAACAGACCTAATGCTCGAGCGTAAGAAAGGCCGCTCGAGTTGAGACCACTCGAGCGTAGAAAGCACTACTTAAGCGTAGAATACACTCTTCTAGCAATTTTGCAGACCTGTAAAAGTACTGAGAGTTTACAAAGCCTGCTCAAGGGCAAGAAGTGCCGCTCCAGCGAAGAAGTAAAATTCTGGGCAACAAAAGTTTAAAAACCAATCAACCAACTTGTTTTGAACGCAACCATTACAATCCAATAGCCAAACTCAAAGAAGTTTGAGGGAAAAAGACATGAACAACACTACGAAACCACGAAACCCAAATCCCAGATACAAAAGGGTCAGGTTAAAATTGGAATCGCTATAATCTCCCCCCTTAAGGAATTTCATCCCTGAAATTTTAAATCAAGTTTTAAAACTATGTTTAAATTGATCATAATAAAAATAATTAATCAATTCCGTCACCATGACCCATCCTCCAGTTACCTATTCTCATCAACTCGATACGTAAGTTCCACCATTGAGAGCACAATTCACATTTTTCCAAAACATATGCAATGTTTACATTAAATTCGTGTTTCTAAAACACATACAACATATGCAACGTTTCCACATAAAACAAATTAGTTCGAATACTTCTCACGAACTTCCAAGTCACGTTCCCAAGTTGTTTCCTCAACCTCGTGATGTTTCCACAATACTTTAACCAAGGGAATTGTCTTGTCTTGCAAGACTTGGTCCCGAGTATCCAACACTCTCACCGGTCTCTCCTCATACGAGGCATCATCATCTACTTCTAAGTCGATCCAATCCAACACGTGTGATATGTGACACGCCAAATTTTGATAATATAATACAATGATACACCAGGGTTTAACTAGCAGATACATATCATTTTCAAGCACAAAATACGAATAATTACACTAAAAGAACTATTGGTAATAGTTACAAATAAAATTCTTCAAGTCTTTAAATACAAATCAGTTCCTTGATACAAAAAGATTATCCAAAATACAGTAAATATAAAATCTAATCTCTATGGCAGCCATGGTTCCTCAAAGTTTTTAGGGATTTCATTCTCAATGTAAAACTCGCCTTCACCTGGCATAAAACGCCATAAGCTTGGAATGCCCAGTAAACACACGCACTTCGACCCTTTTTCCATTCCAAATACACAAGTAACATAACGGCACGATCATAACATACAGAGAAAGCAATAGTTCAGTGGAGCTTATAATTAAATTTCAGTTCTCATGAATAATAGTCAATTTTAGTTAGTTTTAGGAAACTCCCCTCAGAATGCCATTCTTACCCAACCACTAACACTGGCCATGAGCAATTCTGACTCCCCCTTGGTTAATACAATACCAATGCATCGCTTATTGCATAACCACCAGTGCGTCGCTTACCGCATAATTACCAATGATGCCCACTCACCTAGGTTATATACCCGAGTGGTGACACCATGGTCTGCCCTAAGGGAACAGGCTTCCAGGGATACCCTCCCTGTGTGAGACCCTCACTGCCACCCTTATGACTCCTATTTTCGTTAAGCAGCCAGAATACCTCCCGTGCCATGTTAGGGTTCGAAAATACACTTGCGCAAGACTTTACAAAAATGGAATACATTCCACTATATCATACTTTTGAATCCATCGTTCATTATCTCATAAAATTTACTACAATGATCGCAACCCATTACCATCCCATTTGATTTTTCCTTTATTAAGTGCATTATGTTTTCAGTTATTGCAAAGCATAGTCAGTATAATTACGAATCCAAACTAAACAACAAGTAATTTATTCTTTATCATAGATTACATATCGAGACTAAAACATTCAAGAAACATAGAATATAAGAGTTGCAAACCAAATAAGAGCATATTAACACAAATTTCCAAATTCCCAGATTTGAACCAGTTTGAAAATAATTATGAAAAAAATACTTTTATTGGCCCTAAGTACCTGGCCTCATGTGAGTTTGTAGATAAACAAGTTTAGTTTCAAACTCAATTCACGAAAGTAGGATAGGTATTTTAGATTTTAAGATAACTCAGAATTACCAAGATTTGTACAGATTCGTTGACCATTACCTCAATCAGTTTTTCTCTCAAACCCCTCACTCTCTTGAGTTCAAACAAATTTTAGTTAAAATATAACACCAAGATTAAAATTTTGACATAAAAGTGGACTCAAGATTATTTTTCTGGAATGTTATAAAAATACAGAAAGTTGGCTGTTTTTCTGGTTCTGTGAGTAACAATCTTAGAAAAATTGTTTAGGTTATAAAAATACATTCTTAGGTCCTACCAAAATTATCAAATACTTTAGACATACCAAATATTATACCATAAAAATGGATTTTGAGTTTATGGAGTTTTGATAGGAAAATAAATTCAAGAAAGGGAAAAGATTTGCTGTTGGAAATTTAAGAAAGAAAGAGAAGCATACCATTTCTTGATTAATACACATTTATACAAGAGTGTAGGCCTAGACTACAACATATATATACAAAGAGCATGTATTAGGAGGGGAAAATCAAGTGGTAAAAGAACTTGAGAGAAAAGGTGATGTATGTTTACCTTTGTTGTACAAGACTCAACAAAATTTTTCTTTTTATTCTTCTCTTCTCTTCTCTCTCTCTCTCTCCCTCTCTCTTTTTTTTTTGCCAAGATCACTCTCTCTCTCACTCCTCTGGTACATGGCTGAAAATGTGTAAAATGAGGGGAAGAAGTGTGCATATATAGAGAAGGATTAAGAGGTTTCTTAGGAGCCAAGTTCCATAGCTGTAATTTGTCAAAGTTGTCCATCAATGCCATCAAGGCCATTTCAACCCTCACATGACTAGCTACTTGGGCTCCAAGAAATATATATATATATATATATATATGATATTTGTATTTATAAACATAAAATAATAGGCACAAGTACATTAATTAATAAATATTACAATTAAGGGTTGGAATGAAATAAAATAGAAGTATATAGGGACCAAGTCTAAATTTATGAAACCTTGATATTTATAATTAATATACTAACCTTAGAAAATAGTTAAAATAATAAATTTGGGTCCCGTTAAATTAAAGGGCAAACAAAGGTGAGAAACGAAGCGAAAACGGCATTGCCGGGAGTTAAGATTTTTAAAGTGATTAATCTATAATTATCGGATCTAATAATTAATAATAGGGTTTTAAACATGATTGTTAATCTACGGGATCGATTAGAGTTTACTCGAATTAATTCGCGATGCTTCTTGATTCTAGGATTTAAAACGCAATTAAGTGAAAATTCAAGGGCTTTATTGAAATAAATTCAAGGTTAGGAATTTAATGGTAATTACAAAAATTAGGGTCTTTACATGATAGATCCGGCTGATACTTCTGAAACATGCTAATATGAAACACATCATGAATCCTGGAAAGCTGTGGCGGCAACGCCAAACAATAATCTACATCTCCAATTCGCTCAAGGATCTTAAAAGGCCCAATGAATCGAGGGGATAACTTCTCACTCTTTCAAAACCTCCATCAAACCTCTCCTAAGTGATAACTTCAAGAATATATGTTCTCCCACCTCAAAAGACAAAGGTCTCCTTATATGGTCAGCATAACTTTTCTGGCGACTCTAGGCCGTAACCAACCTCTTATGGATAAGTGCAACTTTCTCCATCGTTTCCCAGACTAACTCTGGACCCAACATAGGTGCATCACCCACCTTAGCCCAATACACAGGGGATCTACACGATTGACCATACAAGGCCTCAAACGGTGCCATGCCGATACTCGATTGGAAGCTATTTTTATAGGCTAACTCCACTAAGAGCAAGTACCTTTTCTACGAATCCTTAAAGTCAAGAACACAATCTCGAAGCATATCCTCAAGGGGCTGACTGCCATCAGTCTGAGGATAATATGCGGTGCTAAAAGTCAATCTAGTGCCCAAGGCACTCTGTAAGCTCTGCCATAACCGAGCCGTGAAAAACGGATCTCTATTCGAAACAATCGTCATAGGGATCCCATGCAACCTCACTATGTCCCTAATATAAGGGTCGGTAAGGTAATTTACCAAGTCACTCATGAGAATTGGTTATGACTTTTCATTGATCAAAAAAAAATAATGTGAAAGACAATATTACTCTTATTTGTCCACATGTCATCCATCTATTTACCTATTTGTCTACATAATTTGCCAATATGTCCTTATCATCATCATCACCACCACCACCAATGATTGTCTGACAATAGTGGTGTGTGAGGATATAACAATGCAAGGGTGAAAATAGAACAAAAAAATTTAAAACAATAATTTGTCCTTTTCAACATTTTTTTTTATCATGTCCTTACTAACAAAATAAATCAATCAATGAACATAATGTCATAAACTCCATAGAAATGGACTTTTCATCAATTTTCTATTTATTTAAGTAATTTTTTTTTGTAAGGAGAATTATACCAAATTATTTGGCACAAACAAACAAAATTTAAAATTTAAACAACAAAAAGAAAAGAAGAAGAAGAAGAAGAAGGTTTAAGAACTTTTATGAACCTGTTTGGTATATCTTCTTACAAACTAAAAGTTAATAATAAGAAAATAAAATAAAATTTAAAAGCATCTATTCCTCAACTCCTCAATAATTAGTTTATTTTTATTTAAATTATATTTTCCTTATAAATCAAAAACGAAAATTACACCAAACACACACAAACTCTAAAAATACATCAAAAAAAATTTATAAACAATTTTATAAATTACACCAAACAAAGCCTATGGCAGTAAGAAAAGTCAATATAACAAAAACAAACGACACAAATAAAATGCACAATATATTAGATGAAAATTTATTGCAAATAAATTTGGCTTGGGATTTGGATATAAACATGTAAAATTAATGTAGGTATTTGGCACCAGAGTACGCATCAAGTGGGAAGTTAACTGAGAAATCAGATGTATATTCATATGGTGTTGTACTCTTGGAACTCATTACTGGACGACGTCCTGTTGATATCCGCAATGATGATGACAGCTTAGTTGATTGGGTAAGGATACAATCCCTCTTTTTTCTTTCTTTCTTTTTTAATTGTCACAATTAAATTTTCATATTTCAACTTATATTTCAATGTCATCTTTTCATCACATTATTATTTGCAATTTAAGTGAAATTGAAACGGGAACAATCAAAATAAAATTTGAGTGAAAATTATAATTTTTCATAAAAAATCTTTCGTATGAACATTTTTTATCATTAGTAGCGGCTTGATTTGTTGGATTTTTCCACAATTTGATGAAGTTCAAGGTGCTTTTTCATCTCGTAGAGTTTAAGTGAAAGTTGGAGGGCAAAATTTATTATTACCATGAAAATTTCCTTTATATGTTGTGTTTGGTTAAGGGATTTGGAAAAGGAAAGGGAAAATGTATGTGAAACTAGGTGAAATATAGATATATTTTATTCACATTTCACCCATCGTTTCCTTTTTGCTTTTCAAATCCATTTTCAAATCGCCCAACTAGACACAACATTAACACCCATAAAATGTATTCACCTTAACACATTTTGTCTAAATTTTTTAACAGTAAGTGATGGAAGAATCATATTAAAACAAGAGTTGAAATCTGAGTACTTAATTATTACAAGTATAATGAAAGGTCAAAATGATTTGGATAAAAAAATTGACAGTGAAAAGCGTAATTTATCCTAATGAACCTATTTGGTGAAATTTTTCTTTTTTCCAGTAATATATATAGAAATCCTCATTCATTTGTTGTTGATAGTTTTATTGTTTTGGGATATTATTGAATAAATAGGCTAGGCCTATTCTAAACCAAGCAATAGAAGGTGGAAGCTATGATGAGTTGGTAGATCCAAGCTTGGAGAATGGCTACAATTCACAGGAGATGTTGCGCATGGTAGCATGCGCTGCTGCTTGTATTAGGCATTCTGCTAGGAGGCGCCCTAAGATGAGCCAGGTAACAATTTGCTTTCATTTTTAAATTTTGTCTTTTATTTTTCCAAAAGAAATTAATTTAACAAAAATAAACACTAAAATTATTATCCTGAATTTGCAAAAAAAATAATTCTATCTCCAAAAAGATAAAGCTATATGAAAATGACAAGTTTTTTTTTTTTTTTTGAAATTGTTTAGAAAACAAATTTTAAAACTAAATTAAATAGAAACCTCTAGTATTTATAATTATGAAGTAGCTTTAAACAAAATTAGTTTTGATTTTAACCTCATTTTAAACTCTTAATAAAATTTTCAAACCTTTCTGAATTTTGGCTACTTACACTACGGTTGACATGGCTGTTATGTGAGTAGGAAAAAAAAGAAGGCAAAAGAAAGGATAAATCACACAATTAGTCCATGTAGTTTAAGTAAAGTGTCACTTTAGTTCCCGTAGTTTCAATTTGAGCAATTTGGTCCTTACATTTTCAGTTTTGTTATAATATGATCCCTATGTCACTTACCAAAGAATTTTGAACCAAAAAAAAGGGCTATGTGTCTAGCGAGATTAAAGTAAAATTCAAAACAAACTACAACGAGCACTTGTGTGATAAATATATCCTACTAATGGTCTTTGTAGTTTTTTTTGAATTTCAGTTTGACCCTTCTAGTTTTACACTTGTTTTTTTCTGTTCAAAATGTTAACAACCCATGATAGATCGACTACATTGTAACAAAATTGAAACTGTAAGGACCAAATTATCCAAATTGAAACTACGAGAACCGAAGTAAAATTTCATTCAAATTAGAGAGATCAAACCAGTTTTGTAATTTACCCCAAAAGAAATGAAGATCATTTAAATTTGCATAAAAAATTACTAGAGCTTGAAGATATAATGATAAGTGGATAATATTGATTTAGTTTAATTGATTGGTTCAATGAAATTTAAACATATATTTTTGAAGGAATTTAAATTACTAAACTAAATGTGAAACAGATTGTACGTGCACTGGAAGGTGATGCCTCTCTTGATGATTTGATTACTGATGGGGTAAAACCCGGCCACAGTTCAGTTTTTGGGTCAAGCGGTTCTGAGTATGACAGTTCATACAATTTGGATGGGAAGAGATTCAAGAAGAATGCATTGTCAAGCCAAGAATTTACTAGTAGTGAGCACGGGGTCACTGGAGAGTTTCGCGTCCATTCTTCCCCTTCGAGCAGTGGTGATTCGCAAGAAATTCGATCCAATGGAATTCGCCGACCTAGCCCTTAAGAAAACCCTTTTAGTTGCAGCCATGGTTTTAAATAATGGTATTGAGATATGTATCGGTATTAACAATACGGTCATACAACGGTCAATATCGAACAGTATATGTCGATATATCCATGAGTAACAGTACTGAAAGACCAAAATCTCAATACTTAATGACAAATATTTAAAACATGCTTGCAACATGACAATACAAAAGGAAAATATATATATATATATATATAATGAACAAAAATGTTGTCACGATTGCATTTCATACTTTTTTTTGTGAAAATTTATGTGTTTGTGATATTATTGCAATAGATGTTGACCGGTGAAGGGAGCACTAGAACCCTGTACTAAATTTCTTTATGTTCCTATTTTAAAACTTTCATAGTCGTTGAATTATGCTTTTAGATTTTTACGTGATTCAATGATGATGTCTGTTTTGAAACTAAGAGACAAAAGAATTTATGAACAAAGGATCCTTAATTGATGAACGGTTAAATCATTATGCAATTTTCTATTTGCTAACAATGTTCATTAATTGAGTTGTTTATTAAATGTGTTGGGTTTAGGGTTTGATCTACTTGGATTTGTATTATTTGCTACATATAATATCAATATATATGTAGAGGCATAAGTGGTTTGTATACATATGGATTGTTAACTAGAAGCCTTTGTTGATTAGAGCTGGTAAAACAAACATTGACACATTTTTATTCTCTTTTTCTTTGTTATGTGACAATTTGGTCTTAATAAAAAGAAGAAAAAAAGAAGATAAAAAATAAACAATATGATTTGGTTTAGAACCACAACTGAAGTCATTGAATCTTGAACATAATTAATCATGAAAAAAATCAAATTAGACATGTTAAGAAAACTTAAAAAGATTATACATTTTTTTATCTCACTTGCTTTCATGTGATTATATATCATTTTAAACTTGGGCAAGGTTAATGTTGTATTTTATTATTATTATATTTTTAATGCACAATAATTTTGTTTAGGGAATTTAATAGTAAATATTTTTTTTTCCTAAACTTGTATCCCAACAAATCCCATAGATATTCTTATATCCCAAGTAATCACTTTGTTTGGAAAATTTAACCTACTAGAACCTAAGTCCCTCATATTTTATGCTTTTGATGGGCATTAATACCCCTAATAGATATGGTATGTATTAAGTTTTTATTATGAAATATATATATATATATACACACAATACCATTGTGGGATCTCTCTGCGGGTATCTAATGTGCCTGACGGTTCACTCTTTCGTCTTGCTCACAAAATGTAGTGTAAAATGAGCGAAGGTATATGATACTTCGTTGTCATACTTCATTGCATAATATGGTGTGACCTGCACACTAGATTCCATTCATTCATGAGGTATATGACGGACCACTCTCCATACCATTGATTTTATGAGGAATATGATAGACCACACTCCATACGGTTCATCTCATAAGGTGCATCACATATCGCTCCATGCATATCTCACAGAATGCATTATGTACTACTTTCCATGCCATTCATGTCTCATGAAATACATCATGCATCATGCACCATTTCTTTACATATAGTGTTCTCATAAGGTGCGTCTCCTCGCACTATCCTTTCTGCATTCAAAAAATGTGCGTCCTCTCACACCACCGTTTTTTGCATTCAAATAAGATGTGTCTTCTCTCACCACACTATAGCGGTCGGGTTAAGACCCGACCCTTTATACTCTTTGATTCGGAATTTGGTGCTCATTATGGTTGTCTATGTTGATTCTTTTCTTATATTATTGTTTGGAGAGTTGATATTATGATTGTGAGATTGTTTGAAACAGGTTGAGAGTTAGTTTTTTTCAAAGGGATTTTGACTGGTTCTTTTCAGGTTAGCTCGAGCATTTGGTTCCTTCCAGTATTTGTTTGCAATTTGAATTTCTAGAAGTGGGTGGTTCTTCGCTCAAGTCATGGGGTCGCTTGAGCGGTATTTTGTGTCTGACGCTCGAGCGGTATCTTTACAGGTCTAAACTACTATGAGGGGGTCATTGTGCGCTCGAGCCATGATTTGATTGCTTGAGCGGTTCCTTGTGTCTGACGCTTGAGCAGTGGTTTGGTTGCTTGAGCAATCTGTGTGTATATCATTACGGGAAAAAGATCTTTTCTTTCACTTTGATCTCTCTCTCTAAAGTGTTTCTTTATCAAATTTCTTCACACACTCTCTCTCTCTAGTTCTTGTCTAAATACCCTTTTACACTCAAATCTATTGGTCTCGCCGCTATAGTGCTTTGGGAAAAAGTATACAGCTCGTAGAGATGAACGTTCTAATCGGAAAAGTTCTAATTTTCGGTTCCGTCAAACTTTGGATATTGTTCATCTCTCCTTCTAATCTTGAGGTAGAGATTTCTTTAACCTCTTGTATGATCTTTAGCCTTGTTATATGTTCTTTGAAATTGTGGTTGTTACCATGAAGGGGGTGAATTGAGTTTCTAAATAAATTGCCAAATTAAAAATATTAACCCAAATGATAAATAAATAAAATAGCTCAACAATATAAAATAGAGTAATAAAATAAAATGAGCAAAGGGAAGAGAAAGCAAACTCAGCAATTTATAGTGGTTCTACCAATGGGCCTACGTTCACTCCCCAAATATCCTCCTCTGAAATTTCTCCACTATTCTTTAAATAGTAATTACACCACTAGCTTTACGGGTGCCAATGAACCTTTACAATAAGTAACCAATCCCGATCACTTACTAGTTTAGAATCCGGTGCCTAGTCACACCTAACCCAAGTGATTTTATCCAAAAAATCACTCACAAAAATATCCGGACTAGTTTTGAATCTGGTGCCTAGTCTCACCTAACCCAAGTGATTTATCCTGAAAAATCACTCACACAAACTTTCTCTTTTAAAAGAATGATAAGGAAGGTGCGAAACCCTTTTACAATTTTTGTTTAAATTCTCAACAAATTTTCTCACATAAAATACAACTCAATGAAGCACAATAATATTTTGAGAACAAATAAATATCACAAATTTTTCCATTTCGTCTCTTCTTCACTTCATTATTTTTCTCCAACCAAAATACTTCTATTTATACCCAAAAATATATCCATTGGAAGGCAAACGCTTTTCCGGATCATGAGGCGACCGAGCGCAAGACGCTCCTCTATTTGATTTTGTATCACGTGGGCACGCGGAGAAAACACACGCCAGCTTGAAATAATCCGTCGCTTTTGATGAATAGTGTTCTACTGATTTTTTCTCCCAAACTTGACGAATTTCAAATGTTACATAGCGTAGACACCCCATTTTGACTAGCTCTAAGACTTAGGCCATTTCTTTTGATTACCCGATGATGAAAACAAGAGTGTGTTTCTCAAATAATCTTCAGTAAGAAATATGAAATTTGTGCTTCATTCCAAACCCTAAGCCTATTTTAGCCAAGTGCTTAAGTCCTGTTGAAAACAGTCTTTCGAAACTTTCTTTTCGTACTTTGTTCTGAATATTTTCGTAGTGTTCTGAGGCTCATTTTTAAACTTCAAAATGAAACTTTTTCTGAGAAAATTGAGTAAAGAACAGTGTGGAAATAAGAGGAAAGGATGATAATTATGTTAAAAAATCATGTTTCGTGCAAAATAGTCAGTCACGGCCAGTCAATTTTTTGGTCGGCCGGCCAAAAGCCAGCCAATTAGTTAGCCAGCAGGCTAATTTTTCCAAAAGCATGGTAGTTTCAATAGAATTCTTATTGAATGCGTATGGGTCATGCCATTATAGCTGTTTTTTATAGATTCATGCACGAGATACACACCCACCCCTCTCCATTATCCTCCCTTGGCCTCCATTGTCAAAAAGGAGATTGTCATCCTTCCAAAATGTGGCATCTATATTCAACCACCCTTGTCATCCCATCATCCTTGTCTCCCACTTTCTTGACTTTGCATTCCCTAATTGTCTATATGGAGAAGATCAAATTGTATGTATGAAGAGAAGGGATGAAAAAGAGAGGAATGAATAAAGAGAAAAGAGAGATGTGGAGAGAGAAAGAGAGAAGTCTTCAACATTTGAGCTATAAGCTTCCACACACTGATATACCATCTTTCTATACATGAAAATCATCCCAAAAATTTAGATATAGCCATATTCTAGTAGCTTTGATCAAAAGAGAGTGATTGTTGTTAAAAAAGAGAAAAACAGAGAGTTGAGCAACTCCCCACACACATTGTTAAACAACCCAAAAACACCATTCCAATAAGAATTTCAAAATTTCGAACTGAGAATTGAGAGTACACTTCCTACATTTGAGCGTGATTAAAAGGAAGTTGAGAAATCAAATTTTTCATTGGAAAGTGAATTTTGCGCACTTTTTATGTTCTTTTACTTTCTTGCATTTTCTTTCTTCTATTGTTTTTCTTACTTTGATTTCATGTTATGAACTTGTTGTAAGCTAACTGGAAGTGGTTAGTTGAGCCACTTGCATATTTTTCCCTTTTTTTTTTTTGGTGGTTGAAGCAAAACAAAGTTTTCAGCCTAGCCTGGTCAACCAGTCACTTTGTCCTCGACAGAACCCAACAGTCCCCTAGATGTCTAGTAGAATAGTCTTCGATGATCTCCAAGGCCTCTTGAAGCTTTTGTTTTTTGTTTATTTATTTTAATTAGAAAGAGTTTGTGAGGATTTAATTTTGTTGTAATATTTTTATTCCTCTCTTCCCTTATTCGAATTTGTAATATTCAAAGTGATATAACGCTTCTTTTTATTCCATTCTTTTATTTGCTTTCCATATTCTGTAAATATGCATCTTATATTATGCTTGTCATCATATCCATGTTATGTATCCATGTTTTATGCCTTAAGACCCAGCTAAATTTGCATTTATGAGTTTAATTGATTATTATGTGATTTTCTGCGCTACCTCATGTTTTAAGATGATTTACATGTCATATATTAGAAACTGGATCTGTAGTTGTATTTCATGAGTGAATTGCATCAGGATCTTATATATAGAATCATGCATATTTTACTAACTTTGTTTTGTAAATATTTGCGAGACGTCGGTAAATATGTAAGTTTTTGTAGTTTAACATCCCAAATGTGTGTGACTTTCTTACTATGTTTAGCATCCTATCATGTGGCTATATGCTTATTTGATATAACTCCATGCATGCCGATGGGTGAAGGTTGTGTTGTTTAATTTGGAATAAAATTGATTTTCATGATTGTACTATTCAAAACATTTTCAAGATA